CACATAAGGGATTGTTTAAGAACGATAAATAAAGAATGAGAGACTGTATAAGAAGGGGTTTGAGAAATATCAAGCTACTTAGGAGATATTTGTCAGCTAAGCGGATGGAAAGGGCCATACATTTTTAATAGGACCCCCTCGGATAGGACGAGACATATTTATGCCCCCAGTTCACGGGCTGCTTGGTATGCCGGCGGCTTAGGGTCTTGCAATCTTTCTTCAGTGTCCTCGTCTTCGGATAGTCCCGATTCGATAAAGAACTAATCTGCGACCGCTCGACAACTTTGTTTGTTCTAAGATAGAACTTAGGGTCATGATTTCTCTTGTTCCTTGCGACATAAAAGTTATTCTTCGAGCTTCTAAACATACCATTATGTTACCCGGGTTATCCTGAAAGCCCACCTGGATATTTCGAAAAAATTAAAAATTGTTAAAATTTTAAAATTTATTTATATAAATTAAATATAATTACCACCAATAGCGATTACTCTTTTCCAACGTCTCGGAAGGTATATAATCTCTGTCTAAATAAATTACATTTTTTTTTGTATAATAATTTTGTCTCACTCATTAATATTTTATTTTAAAATTTGATTTTTGATTTATTATTTAATAATGAACCATTGTAATCGAACAAAAAATTCACTTAACCTCTCTCAAAATTTGAGGTTTTACGTTTCAGGTTACATAGAATTCGAAAAACGAATAAAAATTAATTTGTCTGTCGGCCGTCCGCGTATTTTCTCCGAAACTACTGAACCGATTTTTTTACAAATTTGGAAAGATCAGAGGTCATCCGAGGATGATCTTCCTTCATCGACATTTCTATCCGTCTTTTCCTTTCAAGATGGCCAACGAAAAACCTGCGTTGCTATAGACTGTAGCGCCTAAACAAATTTACCGATTTCAATGATATATCGCAAAAGTCTTCTCGATCCATTTTTTTTATTTTTTTTTATTTAGTATTACAACAATCTGTCTCTTGGACATTAGTTATAGTGAGGTAGGATATCATTCACACTATATGTACAAAAATATAAAATAAATAGAAGCAAAATAACAATAAATAATAGTCAAAAAGTATATACAATAAATATTATAAAATAACCTAAAAATAAGAAAATTAAAGCTAAGCAAAAAACCACATGCATACCTATATACACTATTTACAATCAGGCGAGAGAACTCCAGGAGAACCCTGCGCTACTCTCTCAACCGCATCACTGGTACTAAAGCCAGCGGAGATTGATCGAGAGCACTTTAGCCACATACACTCATGTCTTGAGTGGAGAATCTGGCCATTGCCAGAACTCCAATATATACAATCTACAAAAGATGCCCTTTAAATTTATTTATATAACATACTTCAATGAAAAGAAACTGGGAAAAAAAGGAAAACGAGGGATGATAAAATTTAATTCCGAATAACTCATAAACTATTCATTTTTTTGTCGATATTGTATATGGCTATTTAAAAGTTTACGGAATTTTCCAAAAAATCGTTAAAATTGGACAATTAGGAGCAAAGATATGGTCTCAAGATTTTTTTTTATTGAAGTCATGGCAATGGCCAGATTCTCCACGCACGACATGAGTGTATGTGGCTAGAGCACTCTCGCTCAATCTCCACTGGGTTTAGCCCCAGTGACGCGATTGAGAGAGAAGTGCAGAGATCTCCTGGAGTCATGCTTTTCCCCCCACAGTTGGAGGGACAAGTTTGGCTCGGAGTTCTCTCACCTGATTGTGAATAGTGCATATAGGTATGTTTGTGTTCTTTTTATTTATTTATTTTTAAATTATTTTATACTTATTTCTTTTATATATATTATTATTGTTGTACATAGAGTGTGAATGTGATCTTTGAACACTATTATAAGTTCCTTTGTGACAGATTGTAATATTTTCAATAAACAATAAAAAAAATATATTGTTTTTATATATTATACTACAAAGGTTATTTATATTGCTTTGGTTTTTGATTTTTGAATGTGTTAGCGAAGTCATGCTAATTTTTTTAGCATACTACTCATGATTTAAAAATAAAATCAGTCCAACAAATGAAATCATCTTTTATTTCTTTTTCTTTGTTACTAGGAAGGTAACGCTACTTTAGATGTATAATTGTTTGGAAATAATAAACCATTGTGAAATAATTTGCAGCGTTTTTTTTTCTTCAAACTTATAGACTTATACATGTTCATTATTAAGTCAAATTTTCTAAAAATCGTTTTATTTTATTCTTTTCGTTCCACATTCTCTGATAGTTTTACAAATAGGAGATGTTTTTGAAGCCGACATTCATCTGACGGTTAGAAATAAAAATATCTCCTCGATGTCTCGGTGGCAATGACTTGGCGAATTAAAGCTATAAAAACACCTTCTGTCTCTCCAAGTATTTGATATAAGAGACTCTTATATAACTCAACTGGGAATTCTTTATTGATCTCAGTCTTCTTTTCCATGCAGTAGATTGCAATAGATTCATTGATTATAAAATATTTTTATAACTCTATCTATTTTATTTTTCGCAAATGTGCTTACAGAAAAGTTTTCATTAAAAAAGAATTTATTGTTAGAATTATTGTTATTAACATTAGATATATATATATATATATATATATATATATATATATATATATATATATATAATATATATATATATATATATATATATATATATATATGTATATATATAAGTTGCTGGACCGCGATAATCGGACGAGCTAAAGCGCTTGCTATACGCAATCAAAGTTAAGCATCGAGCATAGTTGGTACCTGGATAGGTATCCACGGGTACTTGGTATGTGATACCCGTCAGACTACTGGAGGCAACTCATACCGACCAGGCTTAAGACTGATTACTCTACCCCGTGTACTTAAATCGGGAATCGGAATGTGGTTTACCAGGATGTCAGTAGCCCCTCTGAGGTATGACCCATTGATAGTTTGCTTCGGGGAAAGAAATATAGGCCTTTGTGAGCCTGTTGACTGAATAACCATAATCCATTGATTTAGACCTATTTTTCCTTGAATTCCAGTAAACCGGTGGAAAAGACAATAAGACAATAATTGGTCCCAAAGAAACCATGGTTCGTAGAAACGTGAGGTTAGATGATCCCCTCAAATAAAAAAAACTAATGCTGTAAAAGACTTTTATTTTATTTTATACATATTTACTTATCATATATCCCTCCCCTCCCCCCTGCATTTACAATGCTGCTTGCGAATCTAGCGAATCATTATAAAATATCAACCTTTGCCAATAGTGTGTGTTGAATACATAATATTATATTAAATATAGAAATAAACATGTTCCGCTGTTGTTAATTTAGATTCTCACTGGTTTATACTAGTTAAATTTTTATTATAGTACGGTTTATATTTATAAATTATTACTCATCTCAACTATGCCTTACCATAAACAAAAATGTAGAATATTAGATTATATTTGCAATCTGCAAATTTCTTTGCAATGAGCAATTTGTTTGGCAGCTTCACAGCTTCCCATTACGTACGGGATATAAATAGGTCTTAAAACCTAATAAATTCGCCGACTCTCCAAATTCCTACCGTCCGATCAGCCAAATTCCTTCCTTTTCAAAATTATTCTGTCACCTTGATTCTCTCGATATATTTAAATTAATCCAAATCATCGATTCGGCTTCAGAAAGCATCATTCAACTGTTAAACTATGCCATCGATTGGTAGATTATATTTCTAAATCTTTAGAATCTAAAAATTATTGTCCTAGAGTTTTTCTTGACATTATTCAAGCCTTTGGTGAAGTTTGGCATGAAGGATTGCTTTCCAAATTTAAAATTTCACTTCCTCTGACTTAGTATCTAATATTACTTTCATATCTAACGGATAGATATTTTGTAGTAAAAGTAGATCTGATATTAAACCTATTAAAGCAGGAGTACGTCAGGGTAATATCCTTGGAAAAATATTGTTTAATATATATATATATATGTAATATAATATACACATATATATATATATATATATATATATATATGTCTGACCTACCAAAACACAATGAAACAATACCGACTACTTTTGCAGACGACACCCCTGAAATATATTTTAACAACATTAATTCCCGACATCAGACGAAGTATACTACCTGGACAAAAGACTTAATTGTAGAACTCCCATCAGACAAAAACGAATAGAATTAAACAGACGATACGGCCTTTCATCCAGATTACTGAGGTTCAAGATTATTCAAAATTATCTTTAAATAACAAACTCACGCTTTATAAAGTTTTACTTAAACCTATTTGGACTTGCGACATAGAACTGTGGAGTTCTGCTAAAACTTCCAACATTAAAAAAATTCAGTCTTTTCAGTTGAAAGTGTTGCGAAGGATAGTTGACCCACCGTTTTATGTCGAAAATGATACACTACATAAAGACGTACGTACAATTTTAGATACTGTAAAAGAGAACTACAATAACTTTCACCAAAGACTGACATACAACATGAATCTCCTGACAGAATATAAGAAAATTAAATGTTACTAGGATGTTTCTTGATTGCAATAAAATATTATTTTTAATGTAATATAAATTTAATTATTTATTCATTAAATATTTTATATCATTTTGACTGTGAGCCACTGTATATATGCACCTTATATATTGTATATATATATATATATATATATATATATATATATATATATATATATATATATATATATATATATATATATATATATATACATATATACATACATATACATACACATACATATATATACATACATATACATACATATATATACATATATATATACATATATATATATATATATATATATATATATATATATATATATATATTATATATATATATATATATATATATATATATATATATATATATATATATATATATATATATTGACCTAACGGTCTCTGATATCAAGATTGAACTGTTGTCAGTGATGATGTTGAGTGATGTTGATTGTGATTGACAGGAACGTCCCTACGTAATGGTCCGAGAAGGCAACGTGACTGGCAACGCCAGGTATGAGGGCTTCTGCATCGACCTCCTTAAGTGGGTGGCCACCGAAGTGGGCTTCCAATACGCCATCCGCCTCGTCCCGGACCACAAGTATGGGGTATACGACCCGGAGACCAAGCAGTGGAATGGCATAGTTCGGGAGCTGATAGAGAAAGTGAGTACCGAACCCTTCGCTATCTAGTATAAGGCATGTCGGTCATAGTTTTAGTCGATATAGGATAGTTATCATTTTTCTATATCATTTTTTGTAAAAATAATTCTCAAAAGAAAAAACTAAGCTTCTTTTATGGGTAATGGAATTTACAAAAAATAATATATTGGAAATAGATATTGTCAATATAAAGAACCTAACCTCAAGAACATTAATTTTTAATATCTAGCTCCTTCTCACAACAAATGGAATTCTCAAAACTATACCAATTCTTACAATAATAATAATAATAATAATAAAAGGCTTAGCGAACCCGAAGGTTCGATGCCGACACCACCAATCGCTTATTACACACCTCCCTCCACCGTTCGCCGTCCAAACTCAGTCCCTTCAGATCGGCCTTAACGCAATCCTCCCACTTTCGCTTCGGTCTACCCCTCGGACGCTTACCATTCGGCACAGCAAATATTAACCTTTTAGGAACTCTCTCGTTACTAAGCCCAACAACTTTAAAAGCCCATTTAATTCGCCGCGATGAAATTACCTCAATTATATTACCCGGATACAGTTCACGCAACTCGGCGTTGTGCAACCGTCTGAACTCTCCGGTTAACTCATCCTTCTTCGGTCCGGATATTCTACGCAATACTTTATTTTCAAAAACCTTAAGACGCTGTTCATCCTTTAATGTAAGCGGCCAAGTTTCACATCCATAAAGAACTGTAGGCAAGATAATTGTTTTATAGATTCTAATTTTTACCAACCAATTCTTACAATGATATAAAAAATAAACTACATGACGCCCTCTGTACAACTTTCATTGAGGATAACCTTCTCCGCTATCCCAATATAGTAAAAAAAAAACAAACATAAAAAGCTAACGTTGAATATTTATTAGTTGACCATTGCATTATATTTTATTTTATTTTCCTCCCTACCCTGCCTTTAAGACAATACGGGAGTTTGCAGCAGTGACTTGATACACATTGTATAACAAATCACTGTTGCATGTTTATCTATTTACATTTTTAAATTGCTGTGCACACAGCCTGCTTGATAATTTTGTCACTTAGTTATTGTTCTCCATCTTCTTCTCCTGTCCTAATTAGCGGCCTTCCAGGTACTGCTTCTTCACGCCTTCCCAGGGAGAAGTGGGTTGGGCCCACAATTTTTTTCCAGCCGCATACGAAACTTTTAAAGTGCGGGTAGTTTTGTTCAGACATTAGTTGGGGTAATTGTCCTTCTGTAAGAACGAAAAGCCCTGTATCCCTCATTAATTTGGCCCTCAGTGCCTCATAGCTGGTGCAGGCTACAAGGATGTGCTCAGCGGTTTCAGGTACTCCACAAGTGGGGCATAAGGGGTCGATATTTTTACCGTGTTTAAAAAGTTTTGCTCTGAAACCCCCATGCCCCGTGAGGATCTGTGAGACCCAGTAGTCCGGGAGGACCCATTTCTTTTCTAAGCGCGATTTAATGGTGGGAAAGAATTTTCTTAGTGTGGACCCGTTTGGGGTTGTCACCCATCGCCGATTCCATTGTTCCAATGTATCCTCCCGGAGGATCATCTTCCATCTTCTGGGGTCATCACAAATCCTCTCCCGAATGTTTGCTGGTAAATCCGCCAAGTCATCCCTCTTAATGTTGTACCGATAAAGGTCTTCCCGCAGAAGGAGGTCGAGAGGAATACCTCCTCCTAAGACCTGCACCGCCTCATGGGACACAGTTCTGTATGACCTGGTTACTCTAAGCAGGGCCATCCGCTGGATTGTTGCCAACTTGCGCTTCTGACGGTACGAGAGATTCCGGTTCCATGCGGGGGACGCGTATCTCAGGATACCAACAACTACTCCTTTATAAATGGACATAGTTGCTGGATATCTAAGGCCCCAAAAGGCCCCCCCTATGCGACTGAGACCATTAAGGGCTAAGGTTATCCTATTCCTTAAGTAATCCAAGTGAGGCGTCACGTTGAATTTTTTCCCAATCCTAATTCCAAGATAGGTGACTACCTCACTTGGACATATTCTGGAACCTTGTATCACCAAGGTTATGGGGTGTGCTCTATCGGTCGAACCTCTCAAGAGGATGGCCTGAGTCTTGGAACCCGCCATCCTTAACTTCTTTTTCTCGCACCATTCTTCTACAAGGTTGGCACAACGTTCAGCTTCATATTTTAATCTGGCCCTGCTATTCGGGGCCACTACAACAGCCAGGTCATCTACATATGCAGTGGCGGGGAACCGCTCCTGTTCTAGCACTCCCAGCAACTCGTCAAAGACCAGTTTCCATAGGGCAGGGCCAAGGACAGAGCCCTGTGGACAGCCCCTTTCCACTGTATCTTCTACTTCATAGAAGCTACCTTTAATCTTTAATGTCCTATCGTGGAGATAGCTTCTGATCAAGCCATACAAGTTACTGGGGGCTTCATGCCTTTGCAACTGCTGGAGTACGCTCGGCCACCAGACGCTATCGAAGGCGGATGATATGTCAAACAGGAGGAGCATAACATACTTCTCCGCCTTCTCTTCGACATCACAGCGCACTCTCAGCAGGGCATCTGCGGTTCCCCTGCCTTTAGAGGATCCGTACTGCCGTGGATGGCTCGCTCTCGAGAAGACTGGCCGTAGGCTGGTGAGTATCAGGTTTTCTAACACCTTGCTCATGACTGGGAGGAGACATATAGGTCTATAAGATTTGGCTAATTGCTTATCTTTGTCTCCTCCTTTGTAAATGAGCTTGACGTTAGCGATTTTCCAGATTCTTGGGAAGTATTCCCTGTCTAGGCAATCATTATAAATAGCCAGCAATCTTTCCTCTATATAGGGAATACTGTTCTTGAAAATTGACGCGTCAATGGTGTCTAAACCGGGGGCACGACCAATATTTTGCTTGTCCACGGCAGTGCGAAGATCCCATATGTCCCATGGTGTGCCGGGAGGTGACCGTTGCATTATAAAGGAAGGAGATTGTCCGGGGAGGCTAAATAGTGGTAAAACTATATTATTAAAAGCCAACGTTTCGACCCGAGTTTGCAGGTCTTCTTCAGGGAGGTGTGTTCAGCTAGAAACATTAAAAAACGTTCAGCTAGGAACGAGTTACTTGCTGAACACATGTGTAAGTCTATTTTTATTCTTCTATTTTTATTTGAATATTTTTTGTTTTTCTTCTATTCTTTCCCCACATACCTTTATGTCCATTATTTCATATTATATCCTTTTTCCTTTGCTTCCAATCTCTCTTGTAGATTTATAGGAGTATACTCACAATTGCATATATTATATTTTATATTATACCACAACAATTGTTACCATCTATTTACTTCAGTTTAGGCTGTTGTAACTTAGCTTACTCTGTTTATATAACTTATTGTTCTTAATATTTTAATATACTTACTGTTTATAATTTTAATAAGTTTATTGTTTATAATTTTTTATCAAAATATGATGTAACTTACACAATTCTCTATATCTTTTTGTATCTTGTCCGTTTCAATCCTGAAAAAAAAAAATTGAAAAACGTTGGCTTTTAATAATATAGTTTTACCACTATTTAGCCTATTTATGACCGCCACCCCGGACCATCCCCTTCCTATAAAAAGTTAACATGAGAAGATTACGAACATGAGATAGCCAATTCTATTTTTTTTTTTTTTTTTTTTTTTTTTTTTTTTTTTTTTTTTTTTTTTTTTTTTTTTTTTTTTTTTTTTTTTTTTTTTTTTTTTTTTTTTTTTTTTTTTTTTTTTTTTTGGTGATGCTAAGTCAAAAATAAATCTGTCTCATGTCCGAGAGTGGATAAAAATGCGTACGAAGAGCGGAAAACTAGTAATTCAACATTAAAACGGATGTAATAACGTTGGATTCGTCGAAAATCCTGTGGAGTTATGAAATCTTTAGTTAACAAGGAAAACCAATCATCCAAGAAAATGAAATCTAAATAGTTATATATTTTTATTTACTTTCTAATTTAATTATAAGATTTCTTTTTTTAATTTATTTAATATTACACAATCTGTCACTTGGACATTAGTTATAATGAGGTTATAACATTTACACTATATGTACAAAAAATGTAAAATAAATAGAAGCAAATTAGCAACAATTAATAGTCAAAAAGTATATATCATAAATAAAATAAAATAACATAAAAAGAAGAAAATTAAAACTAAGCAAAAAAAAACACATGCATACCTATATACACTAATTACCAGAAATTAAAAAATATTTAATTTATGAAAAAATGAAATACTAGCAGAAATATTTTTTAAATTGTTACAAAAAAATTGTTGGATTGTTATATAAACTGAAATCTGTCCTGAGCAATAGTAAACTATAACAATAATAAAATATAGTTTAAATTAAATAGGCCCCCAGGGTGCATTGGCAAGAACAATGACATGGGTATAATATTTTTCGATCTAGTATCACCAAAACAAAGATCATTGAATTCAGTGAAACGTATACGTATAACATACAATAATACATATAACCTTGACATATTTGAAATAGCTAGTTTAAAAAAAATTTAAATAAAAATAATTTGTACTTTTTTTATAAGAATACGAAACATGATTGGAGCTTATCAAGAAGCTACCAATGTGAGTCTTTGTTTCATTTTTAACATTACAAATGGAGTTCTACCAATGGGTAGTTTCTCTTCATGTTGTACATGCCATGTTACAAATTTCTCATTTACTTATTGTATTCTCTATGTAATACAGTTGTAAATTCCATTGAAATAATAAAAAACAAAAAAAAAAAAACATTACAAATATGAAACTTTCTTTATTATTTGAAAATGCATTCTCAATCTTATATACGTTCTGTATCATTAAAATTATAAAGGTGTTCAAATTTAAGTAATTTTTTCCTATGAAAATACCCGATGGGAGAATCGTTGACGGAGTAATTTATTTTTATGACTCAAGATTCAAGGCTTTGTGTTGGATTTTTCTATTACATTTTAATAAAATACTAAAGTATACCAAAGCTAGAATCCACACATTTCCCAAGATTTCCACTAAATCAAAATTG